CGAACAACACCGTCCAATTAAAACCTGAAAAGGAGACAATCTTTTTCCATCTCCTAACCAGCCGACTGCATTGTCCAACCTGTACGGCTACTTCACTAACTTCTCATACACACTTATTTATATAATTTTTTAATATATATTTTTGCATAAAAAGTAAAAAAATTAATCAAAACATCTATATTTTACTTTTTAATCCAAAAAGATAAAAAAATATACTTATTTATAACACCCTAAACAATCCCTAAATATATAGACAAGTAAGTAGAAGTAAAATGGTCTTTTAAATTATAAATGTATTTTTGACTCTAAAAGAATAGAGCTTGACCTATTGGTTCAAAATTTTTAAAAATTGATCTTCGACCAGAGTACCTTAATTACGAGTTATGGAATTTGTTTTATTATTAAAAAAATGTCTCAAGTTCTCCCAATAAACTCAAAGATAATTTTGTTAGTTCTAAGTATTATCATTAATTTAATAATAGTGTTAGACTTACCGTGTTCTGCCAATCATTTCATTTGTTAATAAAGCATTGGTGTATTGGTTTCACAACTTAATTCTATTAACGTAATATCATACATAATGTAGTATAAAAATGTGATAATTTACAACTTACGGAGAAATATGTTTGACCATAATCAAACATTCAGTTTTGAGTTGGCTTTGGAAAAAAAAGAAAAGAAAAAAGACTCAAGTCATCAATATCTTTTGGTTATGTTTGGATTTGAATTTTAAACTTGCCAAGGATTTGCAAAGAAGAATAAAAGAGGTTTAAATTATCTTCTTTTCTTTCTCTTCACAAATATCTTCTGAAATATAAGATCCCAATATAGTCTTAATGATGAATGATAGTAAACCCGAAGCACTAATGTCTTGGGCCCAATTGGAGCAATTATATAAATTGCGGGTGATTATTTTATACTTTAAGTTCATGTTTAATTCACAAGATTAATAGTGATGTATTAATAATTCTATTAAATTAGTGTGGTATTTATTATCCAATTGGATTAATATCCATTGGATTACTAATCCCACCCCTACCCATTACTAATAATCCTACAAATTTGTTGGATTAATTATCCATTAGATTAATAATCCTAAATCAAAATGTTAAAACAAATATAGGATAATTGGGCCCACGGATTAATAATCCCAATCCCATGCTCTAATCCACCAAATCAAACATGCCATAACAGTACAATCACGTAGTATTTTATGATAGTATGATTAATAAAAAAAATAAAGTATTAATTATTTGTGTTGAGTGATTGAGGAATATAAAAGATATAATAAATGTTGATTAGTAAAAAAATATGACTATGTAATATTTCGAAACTATTGTATAATTTTTTGTTAATTGCAATATATATTACTGAATTCATTGCAATTTATTTAATTACATAAATAATAGGATATGAGTTTTGTTTTTTTATATATAATTTTGTTTTGGAAACATCGAATCAATCATAAAGCTAAAAATATTCAATAGCATATACCACTTGTTTTTGTATTATTGTAGCATAGCATAAGAGTACAGTTATTATGAACTGAAAAAGGAAAAAGTTAGCAATAATTATGTGGTTGACGCCGACCTAAGAGAGTTAAGATCCCCTCCTTACACTTCTTCTTTGTATTTTTTATTTGTAAGGTTATTGGGCCTATTTTTAGACCCAATTTTGATAATTTGAACCGTTTATATTTTAAGATTTGTTCAGTATATCATACCTGTAAAAAATCAAGTTGATCGGATATCAAAAAGCATGTGTTCGGAAAAATGTTTATTAAATTTTTTTTAAAAATAGTTTTAGCTCGATTTTTCTAAACACATGCTTTTTGATATCCGATCAACTTGATTTTTTACAAGTAAGATATACTGAACAAATCTTAAAATATGAACAGTTCAAATTATCAAAATTAGATTTAAAAATAAACCCAATAACCTTGCAAATAAAAAATAATACAAGGAGGAGATCCTTGCTCAACCTAAGATGGGTATTCGCAATATAGCCCTCGGCCAAAAAGGTTCGGACAAATTATCCGAAGTCATATGGACCAGGTTCCTCCCCCTTAAAACATCGATCGAGACCCCTCTCTCTATATTTCTACTTTCTACTAGAGGCTATCACTGGCTCCACCCAAACAAAAACCAAACCAAAACAAAAACAAAAACAAAAAAATGATTTCCCTGCACTCCACTTTCCCCCCACGTATAAGTGGCGTGATGTCCACAAATAAATAAATAAGGGATAAATTATATTAAACCTCTTTAAATTATTGATTATTTATATTTTATTTTTATAATATTTTAAATTCAATAATTATTTTTTTAAATTATATGAATCTGAACATTAAGTTCTTCCGTTAGTTATCTGTTAGACATTTGAATAAAAAATTAACAAGTACTGTACACATGATAATTATATTAAATTTTTATAAAAGATAAGATAGGGTAATTTATTTATGAGCAAATTTGAATTTGAGCAAATAGGATTATATAAATAGTCAATAGTTTGAAAGAAATTAATATAATTTGCCCATATATATGTGTGTGTATATATATATATATAAAATAAGTGGAGTGATTTACAGAGAAGTGAACTTCGATTTAGATGGATGGATGCATGCAGTTGCAATTCAAGTCCATGGACTATTTAAGGGTTTTAATTTGATAATTTGATTTGTTTAATTTATAAGTCTTTTATTAAAAAATACGATTATTATGATAATTATAATTATATGACTTTATTCATGCATATAAGCATGAAATTATGCATACTTGGCAAGCATTTGGAATAAGTTGTGAATTTCAACTATTGTATTGCAATTTGTGCATTGGTCATTATGCATTTTGCTAGTTGGTTTCATTATCATAAAATTGCTCCAAAATTAGTTTGGTTTTAAGATTTAGCGGGTGACTAGGACTTGGGCATGTTTCTTAGGCCTTGTTTGGGAACAGGCTAATTTAGTAATTTTTTGGTTATTTGGCTAAAAAGATATGTAAAAAAAACTTGTATGTTTGGGATGACTTTTTGGCTAATTACAAAAAGATGTGCAAAAAGTAGAGAGAAAAGAGAATCTTTGACTTTTTGGTATGGTTTGTTGGCTTTTTGGCTAATTTAGTAATTTTTTGACTAATTGGCTAAAATAGCCTCTTGCCAAACGAGGCCTAAGTATGTATATCTTTACCCATTAAAAAATCTTTATTTATTTATTTATATTCAAATACTCCATGAATCCAACTAATTTCTAGAGACTTCCTGGAATTTCAATAAATGGGAAGGGACCCTCATCACCCATTTGGAATTGGTAATGAACATTTCATCTCATTTTCAGACAGTGGGTCAATAGAAAAGAAGACAGCACTGCACAAACAAATCACTTTTTAAGACATCCCCTTTAGTAACAACTTGTCCACTAAGCAAAAGCAGAAGAGACATATATTGCACAACTTCATGCAAGTAATTAATCTGCATTATATTCCATATATATATATATATATATATGAACATTTAAGTGAATATTATAACTATGATATCCTTATTAATCATGAGAAAAAATTATTCAATACTCTCGAAATATTACTGTAATATACATAGTACACTTGAATAATCTAGCTGAACAAAAAAAAATGAATGAGACTGACCTTGTCTCTTACTCAACTGATCAAAGTGAGTAAGATCGATTATACTCATCCCAATATTACATTCATGTATAAGATTGATAATATGAGAATATTGAAAAATTCCTCATTGAAGAGGGCACACCAAACTTGAATTGACTAGAGGTGCCAATTTTGTGTGAATACTTCAATTTTCCATGCAAGTATGGCATGATAATGGGCCAAGGCACTTGGGAAGTATATTGGGCACAGCTACCCTTTGATAATTCCACTTGAATTAGGAAAAGATTTTTTAATTGTGCAGGGGTGTGTATTGAGATTGAGACAACCAATGACTTACCCAGCACAAGTCTCTTTTATAAGATTAACATAGGGACGATATCATACATGAAATCAAAGTGGTGCTTCATGGAAGCCCCCATTTTGCAACAAATGCAAAAATATTTCAGTTGTGCCATTTCAAAGTGCACCACTTTCAAAAGCTCCCCAATCGATCATGTTTGGAAAAGGAAAGACAAAGCGAAAGGAAAAACTAATTTTGAAATTTATAATTGATGTGGGACAAGTGAGGAGGAAGAGAGGAAGAAGTGAAGGATCAAACAGAGGTCAACAAAAGGAGTACTCTCCTCACACTTCGAGTTCTTCAATGGAGGAAAATAGGAAAAGGCTTAAAAGAAAAGTCAGCAACAAATGAAGGATTTGAGTGTAAAGATGGGTTCTTCTAGCACTTTCAAGCAAATGCTTTTAAAATTTCTATCCACAAATAAGAAGAACGGTACGGTCCAATGCCTATGTGAAAGATGGATGCACCTATTCGCTCGGGTAGTGAGGGAACCTAATATATTTGCTCCTCAACATTATTGTATTTCATTTGCTATACTTGTTTTTACTTAGCCTCTTGGGGTAAGAGGATGGTTTAGTTTCTGTAGTCTCATGGGTTGTGAGAGTTTTATTTTGATGTAAATTAGTCAACTTATCTTAGAACATGTCTCCTTTAAGAGCATTCTTTGTTTTAGTTATGAGTTTTTTTTAACTTCGTTATATCTTATGTTTTTTTTCTCTAAATTAATAAAATCTATGCTTGGTTTAGAAATGTTGATTCAAAATGAAAAATAAAAATAACCCTCCCTCCATCCAAATTTTAAAAAATAAAAAAATAAACCAAAAAAGCATGTTAGCAGGAAATCTAAGACAACATGGGAAGTGTTTTTTTTGTTTTTTTTATAAATTTTTTAACTTTCATAAAGCACCTTGGTTCTATAAGGTTGAGTTATCATTTTTAGAGGATCTATCTACATTTTTATTTGATTATTTAATAGGTTATATAAGGTTGAGTTATCTTACTCTTTCCAGAAGTTTATGCAAACATCTTTCCAATGAATATCAAACAAAGATTGTAAACCACTGAATTATTCATATTAAAAAACTCAAAATGAACTAAAGAATTTTACAACAGTACATCAAAACCACATGAAGTGGTTGCAAAAGAAACCTTCCTGGCATCAAAAGTAAAAATGCTACATTGAAAATCAACCAAAAACACCTTGGAAGGTACATACATATTGCCTCCATTCATCAACAAAATCAATTTTTAGTACTCTTTCACAGGCTTCCAACACGAGATGGCATAGATGATTCGCCCCTTCCAACCCTGCAGCATCCAGTTACTGTCCTCGTCCACCACGAAATCCTTGTTGTAACCCTGCCTCACCTTCCTCCTCACCTCCCCCACGATCTCCTTGTCAAGCGGTAGCTGCCTGAACCCAGCCCTTATATTCCTAACTTGCCATTGCTTGTATGTTTCCGGTCTCTCAACTCTTTCAGTACCCTCACACGCTATCACATTCATTACATCCCTTCCATAGGTCTCTTTCTCAAACAACATCCTATAATGATCTTCACGCGGTACATTAGCGTCATACATATCAAACAGCGCCGAGAAGTGGAAGAGCGCTTCCCTGAACCGAGTGGCAAAAAAGGGCGCGTTAAACATCCCGTTGAGAACTCCATGGACAAACAAATCTGGATTAATCCTCTTGATTAAGTTTAGAACCATGTCTCGTGGACTACTCACTGCTACCGTGTCATCAGGAACGTTTTTTAGCCGGTACAAGCAATTCACAACAAGTACCTCATCCGCTTCAATCTTGATATCCTCAAGTTGAATGGTATCCCATTTCTTTGCTATGGCATTGAACTCAAACGGGACATTAAATCGCTTGCAATCCTTTGCTAGCCGACGCCCCGTCTCCTCGACCCTTTCTGCTGGCCGGAAACCAGGTTGGGGAAGCTCGATTCCAGTGATGTGAAGTTTAGGAGGCCCACCTTCCCTCATGGAGAGGCGTTGGATCAGGCAGGGCCATTGGAACCCATACAAAATACCAAAATCGATTATGTGAAGCCTCGTTGCTTTCTTTGATAGTTTCATAATTGATCGGTTTGCATAGGAGTTGGACAATTTCTTGAAAGGGCATGCTTTGATATAAACTTGGTAACCTTTCAAGATATCGGCAGCTGATATCCCGGTTGAAACAAAAGCTGTGTACAACATTGTTCCAGCACCAGCCAAGCGCGCCTCCAGCGCTTTAGCAAAGTAATAAGCCAACCTCTCAGTACCGTCACCGTAAGCAGAAGCATACTGCCTAATCCGATTCAGAAGTTCATTTGCGGTTCTGCTGTCGCTGCTCGCGATAGCTTGCGCGCATTGAGTTAACAGACTCATCAAATCCACAACTTCTTTCTTGCTACCGCCTTGTCTCTTACCACGCGGCCTTCCTCCTCCATTTGATCCTCTAGGTAGCTTCCCTCTGGCAACAACATTATGATCAACATAATTATCATCAACACACGACGCGGAGTCCTCGTGCAAATGAGGATTCAAACCTGGACAAAGCAACACCTTATCGTACATCTCCGGTTCCTCATCAGACTCATCCATAGAACTTGCAGCCAACTGCTTGTTACTCCGCCCACTTTCCACACAATCACTCTCCTCTCTATCGTGATTTTTCTTTCCCCTCGACCCATTCGGCGAATTGCCTCTTCCATTCTTCTCAGTATCCACCACTACCCTTGAATTTTCATCGTTGTTTCCATGATCTTTGTATTGGAAAAACTGGTTAAAGAAGCTGTTTGATGAGTCAAATGACTGCAAAACTGAATCAAAGTTGTAATCACCATGAGAAGACTGCGTAAAAGAGCGTTCAAATTTGTCGCGATCGCGAAACCAGGCAGACTCGATGAAGTTGTCAACAGTAACAGAGCTGTTACAGCTCTGACTACTGCAATTTCCAGTGAAATTATCTATTGGGCTATCTGGATTTTGATTAAGGAGAGACAAAGGGTGTTGATTTTCGATCGAAGAAGGAGGGTATTTCTCTCCGAGAACATCATAGAAAGATTTCTCAGCAGCTTGGAGAGCCATACAGTCTTGAAACATGCAAGGCTTGTGCTCCAAATCCTCTTCTTCCATAAGCATCTGGCTTATGTACTTGAGAATTGTATTTTCATCTTCCGGAGAATCCGGATCGGAGGATTGAGCTATATTGCTAGGATTTGGAACATTTGGAATGATACCAAACTCATGATTCACAAAATTTCTTTGTGAAAATGATGAGATTGTATTGTGGTTGAATTTGAAACCGTTCATTGAACCTGAATGTTTGTATCCTCGGATTAAGGTTTCCATAAACTCTACAATTAATGAATTTCTTCCAAGAAAACAACAAGGTTTGAGAATTTAATGAATAAACAACATAAGTTTCAAATCCAGGAAACCATTTACTTACATATGAACAAATGAAATGATTAGAACTGAAAATTGAGAGAGGATACAGAATTTATACAAACTGGGTACTAGTGAAATATGAAGAATAAGCTTAATAGGAAGTGAAAATTAACAGATACAAGATTTAAACGAACTGGGTAGCAATGAAATTAAAGAATAAGAATAAGAAGAAAAAGAGAGAGTGAAGAGTAGGTCTGACTGAGAATGGACAGAGCAGAGCAGTGACCAAGTCTTAGTTTTATAAGTTGTGAACAGGACTTTTTTATTTTTACATTTTCTATTAATGAGGTATGGGAGTCCTTCCAGGAAGCTACCAGATTGAGAGGAATTGTTTATCATTTTCGTTGTTGGAGTTCACCGGCTACGGCCGTGACCGGTCAGTTTCAGCCATGTGCGCGTTGGGCCAATTTGACATTTATTTGTCAAAATTGAGATATAATTTTTGTTAGTTTTTTTTTAAGAGATGATTGGCCGAGTGATAAATGATGTGGAGTATTACTTATAAACTATTAAGAGCGTCTCTAATCTTTGCTCAGATTGTTTATTGAATTTAAATTTAATAAAAAAATGTTTACTTTTTTTGTTTTAACGTTGACATCAAACCCATATCAATTGAGATTCTCAAAACTTTTGCCAAATTAAAGGAGGTTTTAGCGTTTATCAAATTTTTGCAGATAACAGTTGAAACTTTACGTACATTGGATGATCGGCCAGTTGTCCGCAATTACTTTCAAAGTTGTTCATTGTTGCTTATAAAGTTGTCCATTGCCGGTTATACTCCCGGTCTACTGGTTGTTTAATGAAACTTAAAAAATTAGCGTTGAAACACTTGATATCAGATGAAATTTTTTATCAAAATTTTATTCAAATTTTATGAAAAATTAGTGTAAGCGTTGAAAATACTCCAAATAATTTCTCGGCAATTAAGTGTGCGCGTACTCGTTTTATTCAAGATTCTTATAACAAATCTCAATGTTATTCTAAATTAATAATTATTGATTAAAATTATAAAACACATCATTTTTGTATCAAAATTTTAAGAAATAACATATAAAATGTCAGGGCTGGTTTTGAATTCTCCAAGATTTGTTAACAAATCTTTGAAGTAGGATACTCTATAGTACATTAGAGTTTTCTATCAAGGCAAATGAGTGGGTAAATTTGCATGGGTTATATAAAGGAAAAATTACTCATAGGTCCCATATTGAAAAATGTTACTCCATCTAGTCCTGAATGTTTTTTTATAAACCATTTAGTCCTTTTTCTACATCAGAACATCATCATCAAAATAACATCAAACATCACAACATTAATCATCAACATTGTGAACACCAAACATTCTTGTCCAACAACATCAACTACAAATTCATGTATGATCCAATAACAAAGTTGATGTAGGCCAATAACAAACCCTAACACTATGCTGATTCTCTTGTGCTTTTTTGAAGGCGGCGGCATTGTTATTCGACACGTTGAAGATCGTGAGAGAGGTTTGGTTCAGAGGCGGAACCGTACCATTGAAGCGATTTTGGAGCTTGTCTTTGGGGTTTGTGGTGTTGATTCGGAGTCCACAGCAATGGCAATCGGACAAATTGGGTAGATCTCTGGTTTTCTTACGGAACCGATTGGAAGATGAGTCCGATGATAGAGCCGAATTGGACGATGCAGCGGCGGCGGCAGAGCCCTGTTTTCTAACAGATTAACGAATTCATACGCTTCATGCGGACTCCTAGACGACGCTGATCAGATTTTCCATCGAATTCCCTGTAAAAATGTAGTTTCTTGGACGATTCTGATGTCTGGGTATGTGAAAAATAGCCTTTTCGTCGAAGCCATTGATGTCTTTCGCGCATGTTTGATGAATAATCCTAATGTTTAGTGGTTGATGATTGATGAATAATCCTGACGTTGCTAATGTTTGATGTTGGATGAATAATGCTTGATGTTTGAAAAGAAGGGAAATCATAAAAAGGCCTATAGTAAGCTTCTTGAGAAATAGGACCTATTAGTCCAATAAAAAACCTTTGGGACTAAATGGGTTAACATTCTCAAATTTAGGATTTATTGGTGCTTTCCCCATATATAAACGAACAAAATAGAATTTTATTTTCATAATAAAATAAAATTTTATTATTTTATGAATTATTTATAAATCGTTATGGGGTGAAAATTTTTTAAAAAATAATAAAGGGTATTCTTGAAAAGTAAAAAAAAAAAAAAAAAAAAACTTGAATATATAAAATATTCAAGTTTTTACTTTATATAATAGTATGAATATATAAAATAAAATAAAAACATATCTATGCAAAAAAAAATTATTTTGAAAAGAAGTTGTATAAAATAGTTCAAAGTTGATATGATATTTTTAAGTAAATTTTTTTTTGTATGTAATATTATTGTATACAAAAATAAAAATAAAAAATGTGTTTACTTATGTAAGTTTTTTTACTAATGCCTGCACAAAGTATGTTTGTATATATAATTAATAAATTTTATTTATACAAATTAAGACATGAACAAAAATTATTACTTCGAAAAGATAAAAATATAGTCATGTTGTTTTTATAATTTAATAAAATTCAATTTACAATAATAAAAAAAATCACTCATTAAAAAAAAAAACATCAAACAAAATAGATATTACCTTTATGACATTTTTAAGTATAAAATTAAAGATTACATATAATTTGTAAGAAACTTTGGTTTGGATTGTAAACTTAAATTCGTTGGATTAAGAGGTTGTTTGGGATGTATTAAAAAAGTGTACTTATTTATGTTTTTATCTTTTAGGTGACATCACTTGTTTAATTTTCTGTATATTTTTTTTTTTATAAAAAGTTAAGAAATATATTTATTTAAATCATTTCAAATAACTTTTAAAATTTTATTTTTGGACTTATTAATAAAAAATAAAATAAAATTTAAAATTAGATATTTTGGTATGAATTTGTAAACTTTTAGGGCATTCTCATCAAGCTCTTCAAAATTATTTTTTAGCTAAAAATTTCAAAAAATCAACTCCATCAAACTCTCTTGCAGCTCGTCAAAATTTACGATGGCTACAATAACTCGTTACAACAAGCGATACACTGTTCATCGCTACTTGTGTGTTACCGAATGTCCATCCAAAAATTCGGCCGGACATCTGACCGATCAACCGGTCAACGGCAATTTTTTTATTTTTATTTTTTGTTAAGAATTGTTTAACTGGTAACTTATCATTTTAATAAAAAAAGAAAAATTAATAAATACAATAAGAAAATAATATTTAATAAGAATAAGTTAAAATAAAGAGTTTGATGCTATAGGTGTTAAAAAGTGACGAAATAAAATAATAAAATAATTTTAATTTAACTAAAAATTTGAAGAATTTGTTGTGAATGCACTTAGTTGGACTAGGTTTTTTTAATTCAAATCGTTTGAAAAACTTTTGGTGACACAAGAGACGATTGGCTTCTTCGCCATCCATGGGCCACTATTGCTCTCTAAAATGTCAAATCAATAAATAAAAACAAAATTTTAGTTTCAACTTTTTGAATTTAATTTTTTAAAAATTAAGTTTTTTATTTTTCATATATTTTTTTAATTTTTAATGAATATTTTTAAAATTTTAAATATATTTTTTATTTTTTAAAATGCACATTAATGTATCCAAAATATAAAATATTTGTGAAAAAATATTTTAAAAAATTAATAAATACATAAAAATATGAAAAATATACCAAATTTTCATATATATATATATATTATATTTTTGATATTTAATGAATTTTTTAAAGATTTTATTTACAAAAAATTATATTTTTTAAGTATATTTATATTAGGTGTATTTAAAAATTAAAAAATAACTTAAAATATTTAAAAAAATTAATAAAAATACAAAAATACAAAAAATAAGAAATTTTCTAATCAAAAAACAGGAAACAACATTTTGATTGTTATTTAGAAACGCCGAATAATTTTCCGTGTGAACATAACGGAGCATGTGAGTCAAGGTTGTGTGAGTCGTCAATTGTAGCTGTACGTGGCATTAAACAGACAGTCTGACCGACTCACGAGAAAACGATGATGTCCGCAACGGACGTAGACCACTCGTGTGTGATGCCGTGGGTGGGGTTCTGTGTTTGACTGTGGGGGCGGTTTAACCGGAAGCCGCCGGTCGAGTTGAAACACAAAAATCTCTTGAGCCTCCGTTTGGGAAGTGGGTTAACTTTTTAGTTTTTTGACTTTTTTGACTATTTTAATCTGGGCTAAAAAGTTTAGTTTGGGAAGGATTTTTTTGGCTTTTTTGACTTTTTTTGTGAGAGAAGAGTATAATGATTATGGGTTGGATGTGATATTTTGTTTGTTATGGCTAAAATAGCATATTTTGTCTTTTATGGCTATTTTAGCCCTAACCCAACTTGCCAAACACCACCTGAATGATGTTATATGTATTAATTAATATACGTATTAATATATTAACTGATGATGCATTATTTGTATAATTTTAAATATTTGTAATTTGTAAAATAAATATGATCAATAATAATATCATAATACTAATTAATACACTAATATATACATTAATTGATGTATGTATCACCACCGAAATCTCTTAGGGTGCGTTTGTTTGGACGGACTGGATAAGGAGGGATTGTAATCCATTGGACAATTAGTCCTGGGATACATTGTCCCGAAACTATTGGGTTGGACTAAATTTGTATCCTATGTTTGTTTAGTCATGGGATTAGATGTCTGGATTAGACTATTTTTAGTTATCCAATGTTTGTTTGAGATATTATGGAGTAGGATAAATGCTCAGTTAATTGGTAATAAATCCAATATAAGAAGGGTATAAGACACTAGGTTCAAGATATATTTTTTATTGATGAGAAGTCCACACTTTGGGTGTGTTTGTTTGGACGGACTGGATAAGGAGGATTGTAATCCATCGGACTATTAGTCCTGGGATACATTGTCCCGAGACTGTTTGGTTGGAATAAATTTGTATCCTTTTGTTTAGTCATGAGATTAGATGTCTAGATTGGACTATTTTTAGTTATTCAATGTTTGTTTGGGATATTATGGAGAAAGATAAATGCTCAAATGACTATTTTATCCTTTTTAATTATTTACTAAGTAATAGCAATATAAAAAATAGTTTTAATATTTTAATTATTTTTAGCTAGATTAAATAAAAATTTGTTTTATTTTATTTTTTGCACAATATATTAATTATTTTAATTTATTATTTTTAATTAAATGA